GGTCCCAAAGCTTCAGAGAGAAGTAGGCCATTGTCCCCAGCAGCAGGGAGCAGGCCCAGCCCTGCTGTGGGATGAGACAGCAGTCTGGCAGCAAGTGTCTGACTTCTCCCCACATAAAAGGACCCTTCCTAAGAGATCAGGCACACATTAGAAGGCTAAGGAAAGAGGCATGCACAGTAAAGACCAGCTACATCACACACACACACACACACACACGTATGCACACCCACTCAAAGCGTAGGCATGCACAGTAAGGACCACTTGTGTGATGTGTCACATGCACACTTGAATGCATCCACTAAGAATCCACCCACATACATAACCACGCTTTCCAGGTGGATGTGGAAGCGACCAGTCAGGGAAAGAGAGTGGGCCTCAGGCTTCCCTTTGTGGTTCCACCACTCTCCTTTCCTGGTCTCTCCATGTGGCCTTCCACCCTTTCTGGAGATGGCCCATTCTTGTCTGTGAGAAAGTACTATAAAAACTTTGCTTTCAATCATAAAAGCTTACTTTAACTAAAAAATAGTATTTTTTAGTGTACACCTAAACAGGGTGAATTTTAATTGTCTATAAATCATACCTTCCAAAAGATGAGTAGAATTTTTTTATTTTTGAAGCCCTTAGTCAAAAACAAACAGAGAGTGAGAGGGAATAATTTTAACAAAATTAAAGAATATAAACAGTTCATAGAGGCTTTTGAGGAGATACAGAGTAGATACATAATTTATCAGGTTGGGCTAGTCAGGGAGAGTTTCCAAGAGCACCTATGTTTTAACAGTTCCATTGAAAATACAGGGAAATGGAGAGGTGGACTGTTTGAAATAAATGCACAAAGGGAGACAATGCAAGGCACAATGCAAACTGAGACAGGTGTCTGCCCCACCCTGTCATTTCCCTACCTCAGCAGCTCTGCAGGATTTGAAACAGCACACCTGTTTCAGTTAACGAACAGAGCACCTTGGGACCTGGTATTCACCAGACTCTTTCCTCTCCAGAATTTACCAATCATGCAGCACTTACCAAGGGCTGAGCTGGAGAGCGAAGAAGTACACACAGGAAATGTTTGTAGGCATTGTGAGCAACTATATCCTATCTCTCTAGTCTGAACCTCAGGTTGGAATGAGTGATCTTCTGCATAGCCTCTACATGGCAGATAGGGGACAGAAAAATGCATGTGGGGATAGAAGGAGGCAAGAGTATGGAAAACCAAAATAGTGAATGAACACAAAGCTCATGTTACCAAGAGCTGGCTAATGTCACTTTGAAGGTCCAACGTCTAGCAGGAACATTATAAAAGTACATTTAATACATTTATTTAAAAGTTGTTAAATGTGCAATCACAATGTCATCTGATGTCTGATCCCATTGATTCGTTTATTCATTCAACCACCATTTATTGAAACTATACTATGTTGTTAAGCTGGGATCACAGATACATAAAAGTTATCTCTGCCTTCAGAGAGCTTATAGTTTAGTAAACAAATAATTACAGAACAATGTTTTGTGCTATAAAACACAAGCTTGTGTCACGCCCTTGGGAATGCAGAAAAGGAAGAGACTGCACCTAAAGGAGATATAATCCAAACCAAAAACACAACATACCCAGTGTTAATTGGATGT